GAGGAAACAAAAAAAAAATCGGCGGTTATCATTCCTATTTAAAAAAAAATATTATCGAATTGATTTTGCGTTTGAGACGCAGTTTGATTATAATTTAGGTATTTTAGTTGAGATAAATAGATAGATATTAATTGTTTTTTCTTATTTTCAATATAGAAAATAAAGACTCCTGCACAAATATATTGTGGTAACTACAGACAACAGCACGACGCGCACTTGACCGATTTTTTAATCGTTATATTTATTTGTTTTTTTTACCTACTTGTGTCTAAGGCAAATAAATGTTTTTTTCTTTCTTTCTAACTATACCTGTTCAGTCAAAGAACCGGTTAGGTTAGGTTAGGTTAGGCCGCCAACAGCACGACGCGCACTTGGCCGGGGTTTTTTTAATCGTTATATTTATTTGTTTTCTTTTACCTACTTGTGTCTAAGGCCAATAAATGTTTTTTTCTTTCTTTCTAACTATAATTGTTCAGTCAAAGTACCGGTTAGGTAAAAAATGGGTTGCACCATTTGAAGTTAGTCAAAATGAGATCATAATTTGGTAGTGACAATTAAGCGTAAGTTGAGTCAACTTACTTTAACTTTAACTGTTCAGTTAAAATACCATTAAGGTATTAAGTGGGTTAAACCATTTGACAACTGGCAAAATAAGATCGCAATTTGACAGTGACATTTGACTGTCCAAGCGAGGCCAGTTAAAGTTTAATATACATATTTAACTTTAACTAGCACCACTAGAGGTGCAAATCACATTTAATTATTCAATCAATCAATCAATACTTTATTGCGTTCTACAATGTTTTCTTAGATCTTAGTAGGTACATTGCTTTGATCATTGTAGACCCCGAACAGGGCACAGCAAATAGAGAAGAGGTCGCATTCACTAATTGTAATTTAGTTAGTACGTATACAATTTACCAGCCCAATACGATAATTTTTTACCCAACAAATAAAAATATATTAATATCAACATTATTCAATCATTTTAGCTCAATATTATATGACTAGCAAACCAGTGAACCAAATGTTCACCAAAACCTGATTTAAAAAAAAGAGAAAAAAAAAATGTATTTAATTAATTGAGAACTTCGGAGATTTTGTGTGGTTTCGTTTCAAATTCGTGATTTCTCGAAAACCGGAAGTGCTAAGTTACTCAAATCCGGTTTGGCCGCTGAAACAGCACCACAGACAGACGGACGGACGGACTTGTCTAATAGATAAGAGATTTATTATCTATGTCATATTATATAGCATATCAAGTTATATTATATTGTTACGTGTCGGGATGGCTCTGGCACTTTCGCGGTTACATTTCGAGAGCGTTTGTGACAATATTAAATTTTATTTTAACAAATAAAATTAAATAAAATGTCAGGTATAGTAAAAATTTAAATAGTTAATATCATTACTTTAAATTATTATCTTCTAAAAATTCCTTAACCGTGTTTATAACATTTGGTACCTTTTAATTTTTCCAAAGATGATTATTTTTCCTGTACCGTTCAAAGTGAACGAGAATGCAACGTAATTAAAAATTTGTTAATCGTAGTTTTATAGATAAAGGACATTGCTCGTTCCCCATACATTGAATGCCCTAGAATGCCCAGCAATGAGAAAATGCTAGTTGTGTTCGGAATCATTCATAAATTCTAATTAGGCATTCGTTGAGATACGGACAACTTGAGGAATCGTGGCCTACTACAGAATGTATTAGATTTGGAGGTTATAATTATTATACTTAATCGTAAAAGATGTACACTTTATATTATATTCTGAATGGATTTAGTGTTTTCCTCTATGTAAGCACTTAAATAATATGCATTAAATGAATATAAAATGCAATTAATAAAAATAATAAATGCTTATATTCATATTGATTTATGAGTGTTTCTCACAATAGATTTCTTTTCAAATGAAATGTTCAAAATCTTTCGATTTACCCGTTTTTATATTTTACTATCGGTAATAAGGTATGTACAACCTGGATATCATTGTGATTTTCATAAAAATAAACAGGTATTATACGAGATGGGAGTATGTATAAACTATCTTTACATAATTTCAGAAATAATATTTTTTTAAATATAATATAAATACTAGTGACAAGTATTATTAACTAAGGTACCTAGTTCTATTCTTATGTTGATAAATACCAATAGTCGCCATTATTGCATTTATTAAGGTATTAAGGTATATCTTGGCACAACTTTTTTACAAAATCACCCATTTAAAAATAAAATAAAAACCAAGCCAATAAACTATTAAAATAAATCGTTATTTTAGACTGAAACCTATTGAATCCAGTTATCAGTTGATTTTTAATGCTGTATTTCCAATAAAAAGGAGTGCCAAGATTGATTACCAAATAGGACAAGTTAGGATGAACATACTGTATTATCTAGTAACAGAACTTTTATTTCTTAGTTCTTTAAACAGATTGTCCGTTTACTATAATTAATTGATAATAAGTTAAAAAAATAATAGAAAAATAATAGTGAAGGACATTCTTTTGGGCATGCTAGGGCCGATTTCGTCGATGTCCTTTTATTATGTGTACTGAGGCAAATACAAATATATCTATCTTACGGGTAAGACCAATTCTTACCCGTAAGATAAATATATTTGTATTTTATTTGAGCAAGCATTTTAACGGGATTTTATCATGAAACCTACTTCAAACGCTCTCACGTCCGAATACTGAAATGTCTCGAGTCGATTCGAGAGGTGCTTAACATTAAGTGGGTTTGTAACGTAGATATCTATATTCTCGTATTTATTTTCTATTTTGAATACAATAGTTGTCGACATTACATCAGAATCAAATGTCACATGCATGACGGAGTGTCACTTAAAGGAGGGCTCGACTTATTTGACCGATTGTTCTTTTGATGTATTCGTAATTGTCAGGACAAGCTTTACTAGTATACAGGGCGTCCCACGGCAACCTCACACGGAGGGAAAGTATATTAAATATTAAAGATAGGATATTTTACTGAAAGAAGACATCATTTTATTTTTAATAATAACTAGAACTGCATTCACAGTTTTTTTTATAATCGCCTTTTACACCTGGGAATCAAACTCGTGAAATTTCGAAAAAAAAACACAACTCATTTTATGATAACTATCGAAAGGGTTAATCATAAGCATTTAACTTTTTTATAAAAACAGTTATTTTTAATGATACTGGAACTAGTGACGTGTCTTAAAATGATCGATATTTTATTAATCATTAAAAATAACTGCTTTTATAAAAAGTTAAAACTTTATGCAAATATTTTAAGAAAATTAGAGAAGACTCCTTATTGGGATCTGACATGGAGGCGTGGCCTATTCAATATGGCGCCGACGGGGGTGCATTTGCCTAGTCAAACCGTGATGAAATACCGTAAAATAGTTAAATATCAATATTAGTGGTAGATAATGATAGTCTTAACAATTAATGATATTTGTGAATGGTCCGGTTCAACGCCCAGTAATCGCAATTTTCGAGAGGGTGAACGACTGGTAGCTGCGAAACATTTATTGAATTGTGGTATACACAAACATTTATTGAATTGTGGTAACTAAACCAAGGAAACTCTTTCATTTTAATGTTGTTGCCGTCCCATTCTTTTCTTAGTGGAATAATAATGAGATCTTGTAAAATGCTACTTCACACATGCTTAACCTCAAAAAACGAATTTGACTCACCTGGTAATATATAGTCGTCTTTCAGAAAATGCAATGAACACACTTTCATGTGAGGATTTATTTTACAGTCAATCTTCAAAGCGTTCTTCCATGCTGTGAATTGGTCCACTTTTTCCATTTGACCAAAATAATTTTTGATGTAAACACAACGCGCATTTTTTTTAGGAAACTTATGAAACGTTAATTCACGGTTTTTTTGAAAACTGCTTCCACATCCATACACACAACACTTTATTCTTTTTTTAGAAATCTTGCGAGGGTTAAATATTCCTAATTCTTCCGTCATTTTTTGTTTAATTTCTCAAAAGTACTAATGACACTAATGATAACTTATGTGTTTTGATGAGCGATGCACCCCGGTATTAGTTCCAAAATTGAACACCAGGTGTCTCACGAATTTTGTCAGATCCCAATATGATTTACTTCAACGCCCTTCAAGCTTTATTTGTATTTTTGTAACAACCTGTATACTCAGTTCAGTGCAAAAGCAAAAGTCAGAATTTCGGTGTCCAAAAAACTATCCTTTAGGTTACCAATTGTATTTTTACGTGTTTTTTTTTGAGGATCGATTTAGGAGTGTCCAAAATGGCCAACGTTATAGTTTTAATTCCGTTGTGTTCCGTACTCGTACGATTTAAGCGTTGAATTTTTCGCAATTTACTTATAATTTCGGGGCTTTAACATGAAGTATTTTCGCCTGTGATCGAAGCCTTACTGTAGTCTGATTTTATTTCCTCGTTATTTTTCTTATGAAAATTGACTTTAGCCGGATAACCGGTTGTCGTTGCGTAGCGCCTGAATTATTAAGTCGGTGATCCGTTCATCTCCCTATTTCCCGAATTTTCACGTAATTGACAACAGAAGATTCAACAACAGAAAACATTGTACAGCTCTACAAGTAACTTAATGAGTGGGATCTCTTTATAGAAAGCGTGGAATTCTGTTCATTAAACTTTAATCATCAGAAATCAGAAATCAGTAGAGGTACATGCTTTATAATTTTATTATTATATGAGGAACTCGATGGCGCAGGTGGGTAGCGCATCCGGCCTGCGATCGTGAAGGTTAAGCCACTTTCGCAATGGACGGTTATCGGATGGGTGACCAAAAACTTTTTACCTCAGAATAGGCAAAGGTGCGAGTGATATTTTTAGTATTAAAGCGACTATAGGCTATGATGGCCGATTATCATCAGGTGGGCCATATGCTTGTTTTTTAACTAAAAAAAACGTGGTGTACAGATTAATTGCCACCGTATAAAAATATATTTTATAAACCATCCTAATGTACAGTGTTTGTTACAGGTTTGCTAGCGCTGGGAAAAGTACTGAATTTTTTCCCCGTGGGCGGAGAACGGGAATGCCAGCCCAGCAGCTATTCGGTAGCCAGGGCGGGCATCTGCCTCAACCAGTACGACTGCCGACAGCGGGAGGGGCGGGCTGCTGGCGACTGCGCCCGCGGTCTCGGCGTGTGCTGTGTATGTGAGTGTCAGTGGGAGGGGAGGGCAATGCCATTCCAGCAGCTACTGGTGGCCATGGGGGGCATCTGCTTCTTCCAGCACGACTACCGACAGCGGGAGGGGCGGGCAGCTGGCGACTGCGCCCGCGGTCTCGGCGTGTGCTGTGTATGTGAGTGTCAGTGGGAGGGGAGGGGAATGCCATTCCAGTAGCTACTGGTGGCCATGGCGGGCATCTGCCTCTACCAGCACGATTGCCCGTAGCGGGAGGGGCGGGCGGCCGGTGAATGCGCCCGCGGGCTCGGTGTGTGCTGTGTATGTGAGTGTTATTGAGACGGTACGGGAATACCAAGCCACCAGCTACAAAAAAAAACATGTGAGGCTGTTACTAGCACTCCTGAATGTCCAGAAGCTACACCATCAGTTCGTAAGTTTACGGCTGTAGACCTTGTACTGATAAGAACCGACAAGAATCTCAGCAAAGACTGTGTTTTTCCTCCCTGCATTACAATAAACAGAGTTGTCAAGTTAAAAAATTTGTTCAATACGAGATGGTTCATGAAGTCACCTTCCATTGCATAATGTAGCACTGTTGCTTGGTGGCGCGGCTGTGTTTGAGTATCCTATAAGAATTTTAGACGTGACATCTAAGATTTGTTTTCGTATTCGACATCTACACAGGTACAGTATGATTTAATCTTTATGGCCGTTATGAAATTTGCACAAGTTGCGGCGCATTAAACAAAATGTAGGGTGATTTAGGTGCGCGGGATTTCGCTGAATTGAATCCTGCACATTTTTGCACTTGCAGCTAACTTCACAGCCGTCACTTAGTTCGAATCGCACAATAGTTATTAGATTTTTTCACGTGATATCTGTATATAACTTAATCAAGCATTACATTAAATATACAGGGTGTTAAAAAAAACCTATGACAAAGACTTAAACTATGCATTCTGTACACCCAAACAAATCATATTATACGTGGGAAAATTTTGTATTTTTATGTTAAAAAAATACATTTTTTTTCCAGTACGCAATGTATGGCGCGGCGCGCTACTGTGGCGCTACGCAAAGAATGTGCCTGTGTGTATGTGTGTGCGCGTGTCTAAGTGCGTCGATAAAAAAGTTTTTAAATAACGTTTTGAATATATTAATGTATAAATCTTGAAAAAAATATTTTGGATTTGACCTTCAATATCTCCATAACTATAAATTTCCCAGGTATGGTCCATAAGAAAAAAATGATAGTCATGATGTAGAAAATACGTGGCCTTCGACTTCGTTATCGGTTTTTTTACACCCTGTATTACTGTGATCACGCAAATATAGTGTCAGTAACGGAAGCTTAATTGTTCCACCGGCACGCCCAACACAATTAAACAACGCTCAGAATGGAACAAAATCAATAGGCATTAGTCCGACCCAAAAATACGGACTCTAAGTGATTGATTAGTTGCGGAAGCTGTGACCAACACTAACGAGCTTGTAATTATCGGTGGCGGATATTTCAAGTTAAGCCGGCGAGCGAAGCGTTACGTTTTTGTAGTCAAATTAAGAAAAAGTATCTTTCTTATCACCGTCATTAACGGAATTGGAATATTAATGATGTTAAGTATCTTTATTTTACTCGAGCTACCCTTAAAAGACAAGGAAGAGATTGGATTTCTCGCTCGCATTAGAGCGGCGGTCTGGGATAAATAACCACCATCTTACAGATGTTCCTTCAAACTACTACAAAAAAGTTGTATGTTTTAAACCTAGTTTAGGCAGTATGTTTTTGAAGTGGAAACTTCTTTAGCGGTGTTGTACACTTTTTTTTTGTATGGGTAGAAACACGTGGGCTGATCGCATCATGATACACAATAAAATTGGAAAGGTTGTTGACTTTCAATATATTGGACGAAACATAGTAATATTATATTTTACCGTATTATAATAATAAGTCTCTATCTAGGACGTCCACGTGACAGCTTTATTGCGAAAAAAATGCATTTTTTTACAATAGATGTGCGCTTAAATGTGATTCATGTAAGTTGATTTCTTTTGTCGCTAAGTGCGCTTAAATGTGATTCATGTAAGTTGATTTTTTTGAGAGATAAACTTTTTTAATGTAATATAAAGTGTCATGTTTGTGTACGGTAGCGCAATAAATAAATTTTGTATTCTACCGCATAAATGATAGTACTTTTATACTGATAATTAAAGCAATTCCCTAACCATTCCAAAATATCAAAAATGCACAATGTTAATATTCAAGTTTTCACTTCTGCCGGCACTCCCGGAGTGCAACCCGTCGTTTTTTTTTTTCAAAACTTGGTTTGAACGCATGGCCAAATTTTTTGTGGATTATGTTCAAGTGTATTTGTGTGTGTACGTGTATATGTATATATGTGTATAATTACATTCACAAATGTTAAATAAATAAAATATAAATACGAAAATGATTATTATGGTTCGGTACTGAATTAATTTCATATCTTAGGTAAAAAGTGCAACTTGCATTATCGCAAATCACTGCGCTGTTCGTTTGCGTAGCACCCAGCACCACCAGATAGGATTTGAGATCAGTCCCCTTAGGATGAGCACCACAATAGAGATGATGACTATTTTTTTTCTTCGTTTATCAGGTAGATTATCAAAAAGTATTGGACACGTATTTTTTCTTTTTTCACATAATATAAACATTGCAGAGATATATTGATTTGAAAAGTCGCATGACGTCACGTTTGAGTACACTTATAAGGGAAAATTCACTCAAAAGTGACGTCACGAGCCCCTACTCCCAAACTTTGACGCGCTATAACTTTGTCATTTTTTGGTTGATTGCCCAAAGAAAAAATACGTGTTTACGTGTTCATTATTTTTTGATCATCTAACTGACGGACTAAATAGAATTTCGTTTACTGTACCCCGTCATCACCCCTATTTACACTATATCACTTTTTTATCGCATCCAATTGCCAACTTCATAGTAATTTGACAATTGAGCGTGATAAAAACGCTTTATATATCATATCGCGGTGCTCATGCTAGGGGGCACGATAAATAATATTTCAGTACCCTTAGTACGAGTTTTACAATTACGAAAACTATGATAGTTTTCGTGAGCTCCCACTCGTACTAAGGGTACTGATTATATTGTTTTCGTTTCAATACAAATAAACAGTGTTTAAATTCTATCATTAAATCATTTGCGTCTTCTTAAATTTTAAGTATATTTGGTTACTTTTAACCAAAATGGACATAGAAACATAATTAACAATTACGAAAAGTATGATAGTTTTCGTGAACTCAAACTCGTACTAAGGGTACAGATGCGATAAACTTTTATAGCTATGCGTTTGAGCAATTTTTTTGTCAAGTAAAAAAAAATGGATGCGTGTAACTTATGTACGCGCGTGAGAAGTTATACTTCTTTAGCATCATTAAAAATATTTTTTAATTGCATGCAAATAATTAATAATTACAATAAAATAATAAAAGGACTGGAAAAGGATAGTTAACACAGTCAATTAAGTTCAGTTTTAATTTGAAAAATTAAATAAATATTCAAAATATTCAATTAAAATCACTACTGAATTTAAGTTATTAGTCCATAGGTATGTAATTAGCACTTGTAAGTAACTAAAACACGTTGTGTCTATATAGAACTAGAAACATGTGGATAAATATTATAAATATGAAAACAGTGATCAGAGGCGACGAGCGTGCCAACATTGTTTTTGACAACGCGATCATCTTATGGAGCTCCGTGGATCGTTCAAAGTACCTTTCGAACAGAACCACTTAGTGGTTAATAATCCACCATTATTAGACACTAACATTTATAACGCGCCCGCGGCCAACTTCATGGTGTTACTATTGTGTTACAGTGATGCGCGCACATCTTAAAATTTCACTCTCATCATTTTTTCATAACGCGGCTAAAGAAGTATAACTTCAAAAACTTTCTGCGGTTACTACAGCGGTTGGGTACAAGCACATTCCCCTGTTGCTCTATTTGTAAGAGTTGTAATGTTCCATAAATAGAAATGATGATTTCTCTGTTTTCCATTATTTTAAACAAATTAATACACGAACACTCGAGTAATCTTATTAGCGATTTAAGTCTGGTGTGGTCATATTTATAGGAACTGCTGTATTTATGTTCCATTGTTCGTAAGCCGTAAATATAGTATTGTTTAAGAGAATGATCTTCGCTGTTTCTCTAAAATGATGTCAAAAGCATCCCGGTCGTGACACTTTCTACGGTGAGTTCTGCTTTCGTTTAGTCTTGTTGTCAGAAATCATGTAGACGAATTGGTCTAACTTCATTTCTTTTAGTTTCTCATCAAAGTTAAAACACAATTCCAAATTAAAATGTATGTGTCTTGACTAATTAAACAATGAAAAGTGATGGCGGATACCAAATAATTTCCGATTTAAAAGCGATAATTTAGAAGTCACTAATTCGGCAATCAGATTAAAATCAACAGGGTTGATGAGGGGGTTAAATAAATGAAATTCTTTTTAGTTCGCCAGTTAGATTTAATAAAAAAATATGGAGACTTATTTATCAAAAATTAACAAGGATTAGGAGAGGGGGTCGTGTCGCCACTTCTTATTAAAAATTGTACCAAGACGTGACGTAATACGACATGTGAAATAAAATATATCTTTGTAAAGATTTGTTAATGTGAAAAAAACGTGGCCAATACTTTTTCATAATCTAACTGATAGAAGTAGAAAATAGTTGGCCATCATCCCATTTAGGTATCAATTTTCGTCTCGATAGTGCACGAGTACAAGGAGGAGCTCGATGGCGCAAGTGGTTAGCGCGTTCGGCTGCGATCGCTGAACTTAAGCAACTTTCGCAGTGGTCGGTCATTGGATGGGTGACCAAAAATTACTATCTCGAGCTCATCCGTGCTTCGGAGGGCACGTTAAGCCGTTGGTCCCGGCTGCATCTGCAGTCGTTAGCACCCACCAATCCGCACTGGGCCTGAGCACCGGGTCATGGCCCAATCTCCCTATTCCATCCAT